ATGTATGTATGTATGTATGTATTGTTATACCACTTGTGCTGCTTCAACATTTGTTTTACGGTTAGCTTCAAGGACCAGGGCGTGCTTTTCCTGTGTATGCCTGGTGCAACCGCGGCCGAGTATGATCTGAAACCTTAGAGGTTTTATGGCCTTGTAGCTCTGTGGGTTCCTACGGGTGCGGTGCATTTTTCGGAGTTGGGCTCTGAGATAGATTCAGGGTTTCAGGTTTACGGGAAGGTTTGAGGTACCAAGTGCAGGCCGATGCTTACAACACGATGGCTCGGTGGTGCCTGCACTGTTGAGTTTTAGGGTTTGTGTCTTGTTGGCTTGGGACATGGCCAGTGTGAGAGCAGAGCGACGCCCCTCGAGCCGCAAAGCCGAAACTCGCAGCGACCAACACCGGAGCCCGAATTTGGCGCCATCCGTGAGGCGTCAAGTTCTGCATCCCCCAAGCCTTGCCTGAAATAAGTGGCGTCGAACTCCTCGTTGCATTTTCTCCTTCGACGTTCATGGTCCTGGGCCTCTGCCTGACCGGGTTTCCTCGCAGAAGAAATAGGCCTCGGGCCAAAGGTCAGTTCGTCTCCTCTACGCGAACAACAGCTCGGGTTTTCAACTGCGACAGTGTCACTCGTTGCCATGGAGAAAATTTGTGAGAGAGACAGCCAGACGGCAGAAGAAGACGCAGAGAGCAAAAGAGCAAGGAAGGACTCGGACAGGAGGGAGGAGAGAGGCAGGTAGGCGGATGGGAGGGTCGGTAGGTGAGCCGATTTCCTACAAGCAGCCTGTCAGCTTTGGCAAGAGGACACCACTGGACCGGATCTGCTTGGCGTGCCTTGGACCGCAAAAGCTCCTAGTGACTTGGCCTTGGGTCGCTCCGGGTTGTGCGCTGATAGGGGTTGAGCCGGGGCATTTGAGGCTTCCAAGGTTTGGGTGAACTTTGTGTTGCAATAACAAGTGGGAGCCCCTGTGCCGACCTGAACACTTGCGCCCCCACGCCCTCGATGATTGGGAAGGGGATTGACACCAGGGACAAGGCGAGTGGAAAGTCCCCAAGCTGCGAAGCCTGAAAAGCAGAAAGACGAGAGTGGAGTCGGATCCGAGGCCGTGCTGAAAGCTCACTTCTCCCAGGAACAGTGCTGCGTGACCATGTTGCAGGCAGGGAGCATTGCATCAAGGCCTGGGGTTGGCTTGGAAGCTTATGGTCGTCAGGCTGAGATCATGAAGCTGTCGAACCTCCTGAAGGAGTACAGCAGCAAGTTGCGGATCAAGGCGCCCAATGAAGCGTGGGCTCTCGCCTTCAGCTGCCTCAGGGTCTGCCACTCCCAGGAGCATGACGAGCTGGATGCGTGCTCCCAGAAGACTCCTGACTGGGAGAAGGAGGTGATCATGACGCTTGGCAGAAGTCTCGGGCTGTGTCCGTGCAGCTTGGTGTTACCGTTTGCCTGGTGGTTGCGGAGCGCGGGATCGCAAACCTTTCTGACAGGCGCCGCTGCAATCAGTTTGACTACCTTTGAAAGCAACAGACGTGCAATTTTCAGGATCACGGAGCGCTACGATGTGCCCCTCAACTTCCGCCTCAACTGCCGATTCATGATCGATGAGAAGGTTGGGCGCTGGAAGAATTTCAGAGGGCAGGATTTGGCGCCAGGAAATGAGCCCATGAGACCGGTGGGAGGTTGGCGGTGGATTCGATGTCCAAAATTGTAAGCCTCACCGTCTTTTGCCTACGGCAATGGGCTCTGATTGTATGTCTTATCGAATCTTAATTGTGATAAATTATCAAGAGAGACGTGTCTTTATTGATTCCTGATTAGAACCCAGAGAATTGAGTGAAACAGCCGCATGAATCTCCGGAACCTAATTTACCCTTTGGAGTTTTCATTTGGAATCATCTTTCCCACGGATGCGCACCGGAGGACATTGCATTGTGCCATCAGTCGCAATGCCCACTTCCGACGTCAGTGTGCAGTTCGCAGACATCTCAGGAGCTTGCAGCCTGGATCCGAAAAGGAATTCGGCTTCAGGTTTCGGTTGCTTCTGAGATCTTCTGAGACGGTGATCCGGCGGTGGAGAATTCATCTGATTCGTAAGTCAGACAGCAGCACATGGTCCTAGACGATTTAACAAAACAGAGAAAGCTGCCAGGTAAATATCGACGAGGACGCCATCGTCTCTGAGCAAGGCCCGCCACTCTACCTTGGGCTTGGGGACGCTTCAGGAGTCTAAACCCCAACACCCACCCAAACTGAGAGTCTTCCACAAACGGAAATCTCCCCCCAAGCTACAGAAGCCCGGGTGCAGGTGCCTTCTTCGAGTCCCTCTTCCGCCGGCTGCCCCCGGTGCAAAGCAAAAGCTTCCAGCAGCTGCAGCTCGGATGGTGCGCACAGAGGGGTTCGTAGTTCAGGCTACAAAGAGGCAGGTCGCGCTTGTCAGAATGATGGGTTGCAGCCTCCATCACCATCATCACCGTCAATGCCATTGTTGTCGTAGGTCGTCCCAGTTGCCTCTGCTTTTCGTTGCTGCTGAAGGTCGTCGTGGTTCTCGTTGTAGTTTTTCTGTCGGCATTGTTGTCGTCGTGGAGGTCATCGCTGTTGTCGTTGCCGTCCTGATCGCTCATTTGGTTTGCCACTGGTCTCGCTTCTGTACGTGCATTGAAAGAGGTGCTCCAGGTCATCCATAAGCAGTGCATCCAAGCACCGCTTCATACGAGACAAGCTGTATTCATACGGGCAATTGGCAAGCCAGAGATCAACCACAATAAATCTCACTGCCAATGCAGACATGTTTGCCAATTGCAGGCAAAACGACAACCGACACTAACTACTTGTAGGAGGAGCAGTTTTTATCAGGAAAGCATAAAAATTTTCGGCAGCTCTCCACCGAGGAGCCAAAGCGATAAGCACACCCTCCCATCGCGCTCTCTCCCCTACCTTCCAGACTCCCCTCCCCGGAAAGTTAACCAGCAAGCTCAAGCCAAGGCGAGAGGAATGCATCACTCTTCGGCAGCAGCTGACGAGTACGGAGGGCAACCTGCAACCTTGGCTCTCTTAAGTGCATGGCTTCGCTGTGAGCTGCTCCACAAGAACACCTTGCCACGAAAATTTCAGTCCATCCGTCACAGCAGCGAACGCCAGACTCCAAGAATCAACCCTTAAACCCCGTGCCCACTCTTTCTGCAGCCCAAAGCAGGAAACTAATGAAACTCTGAGGCAGCTGGTCAACGACCTCGACAAAGCGTGGGGCCCTCAGAGAGAGGGCTCCACTCTTTCGGGTGTCTGTTTCCTTCCCTGATTGGATCTGGGACGCTGCTGATGGCCGCTTGAAGATTGATGGCGACTGCATCTTTAGGCCAGTCTAGGAGGTCATGAAAACATCTTCAAGCTTGTCAACCAACTCGAACGCCGCGTTAATCTGTGCTCAGGGCCGGTCCTGTAATTTCTAGTTTTAAACAGCTTCAAAGAAGCCCGCTGAACAGCCCCAGGTGCAAAGACATGTCGAAAGGTCCAATTCAAAAGGGTCCTGGAGCTAGAATGGAGAAGACGAGTCTCAAACTTGCGTTGAACCTCCAAGGGTGCAGCAGATCACCGAACTCATCGACGTGAGTGCGGAGCCGAAAGAGCTCCTGGACACCCTCGCTGAGCGGGTGCTCTGGGAGGGCCTACGGTACGACTCTTCTGGGCGAAAGCTTCGGGGGGACGTGAGGGTCGACTTTGGGATTCGGCTGGGATGGGTCGCTACCGGTTGATTCCTAGGATTCAACACTGAGTGGATAGAAGCCTCGGAGTTAAAGTATTTGGGCATTTTGGGAAAAGGTTTTGCGGGTTCAGGGGCCGACGGAGGCGGAGGCGAAGATGTGTGGGGTTTAGGGTTAGGGTAACTGGCAACTGTTGCTGCGTTTCAGAAGCCTCACGTCTGAACTCCTCAGATCCACGGAGACCGTATGGGGTGATCGGTTTCTAGTGCCAGAGTCCGCGTGAATCATGGAGTTCATGGTTCAGGATCTCTCTTAAATCTGAACAGTCTAAGCCCGACCTCTACACCCTGAGCCTCCTATGTAAAAGACTGTTGCAGTCGGTGGTTGGTGAAGTCTCAGAAATTTGAATAGTCCATATCTGTCCGTCCAAGTATGGCTGAGGAACTGCTGGAAACTCAAAGGCACCAGCTACTCAATCTGCCAGAATCTGTAAATCATGTAACAAGAGGGCTATGGATGTTTCAAAATTGCATTGCTTCCATGTTGTAGCATTGTAGTATCCTGAAATCAATTCAGTAGCGATGACGACGACAAACACAAGGACGACGACGGCAACGACGATGGCTGTTGCGAACACCTGTAGTTGTATAAGAACAACATTCACCAACACGTCCAAGTACAACCGCGGCATACCTCACGGAAAATCCCGAGAAAATCGGACTGTGTTGCCGTCCGATCCTCTACTGCCCGTCTTTCACATCGCAGCAGTCGCAGGTGCGCTCCCGCCAACGCCGCTTCCGCTATCTCGAGGTGGTCGAGAGGTGCTGCTCGGGAGGGGGTCCGGAGCCGCAGAGCCGAGACCTGGAAGCCAAAGCCTTAAGTGTGAGGTGTTCATCTGTGTGCTTGCATACCTGGTATGCGTGCACGGGTCCTCAAATGGCAACTAAGATCTGGTGCGAGCCACCAAAGCGATTTTATCCACAAGACTTGGTAGCGTGCCCAAACCCTCCATGTATGCAAACGTCGAGCCCGTACCATCTTGTGAGTAGCTGCCAGAGCCTCACAGGAACGTCAAGGCTGCCATAGTAGCGAAGTGGCAGTACAAGGAGGCCCGAGCCCGAGCGTGGGGGCCTGGGATGAAAGGAGTTCCCGGGGTTGGGAGGCTTGGGAGTTTCCTAGAGCTCTCCTTCAACTGCATGGTGGCAGCCCGGGGCGTCAGCAAGGCCAGATGCCCCGTTGAAGCCATGACCTTGTCAGCAATGTGGCTGTTTTTCAGGAGAACTTCAGACCCGCATGATCCAGAGCCTTAATTGAAGCCGACAAAGCATGGGGTTCTTATGCAGAAGAGAGCACCAACAGGAGCTCAAGAAGGCAGCCGTTGAGCTCAAGGGCGCTTTGGGCTCGGGGCTCAGCATCCTTTTGGGCTGGGGAGGTGGTTTCTTTTTTAGAATCGGGGCTAGTTCGCTTCTGTTGTTGGGCTGTAGACTCGTGGCCGAGGGCGGTGTGAAGTGCGATGCGGATGGGGGCTTGAACATTTCGGGACGAAGATTCACGGGGTTAGGTCGTGCTTCGGGTTGTAGCACTGTAATCGGACGGCTCCAAACTCCTTCGGGATCCTTCGGAGTTTTGGAAAGCTCGAGCTTCAAAGCAGAGGCTCAGGGAATACTGTAAGGTTCAACCCTACGGTTCTGCTCGGCCCTTTCACCTGCTATCAGACGATGTCTCAAGCATTATCGACCGCTGGACTCCACTTGCCCCGCAGATTTCTCATTGACGAAGAAGCTTCCACGCACCCTGCAGCAGGCGGGTTGCTCCAGCTGTGCCTGAGTACACGACAGCATTTGACACGGAATGCGAGACCTGCTGCCTGCCTCTCCTTGCGCAGGCGTGCGCCAGCAACAATGTGGCTTTGTCGGATTCAGAGCCGAAGCCCGTTGAACCTTGATCCCAGCATAGACAAGTCTTCCACGCAGCCACAACAGCTACGTTTCCAAGCTGCGTGGGGTGGCTTCTTGGTTCAGGATCACGGTTTTGGGTGCAAAAGTCTGCACGGTCTGCGAAGTGACGGTGGGCATGACCTGGGGTTGTCGTCATTCTAGAGCCGCATGGGCTCAGCTTCGGTCTTCCCTACCCCACTCCCTGCCCACGTGCTTTGACAAGCGTAGAGTCCATAGAGGCATCTCGCTGAGAGTAGGGCTTCTGACCTGCTTCCAGCCTCTGGCTCTGTATCCCGCATACGTTGGACCACTCCAATCTTGAGCCAAAACAACCGATCCCCATTGTAGGGTTCGGTTTAGGGTTCAGGGTTTAGGCAACGGAAAGCACTTGCATATCGCTCGGCCCAAGAAGCCCACAGGCCCTACTGATCCCCAGGTGATGTCCTTCTTCCAAGCCCTGGCAAAACGCCTCGAGGCCTGGGATTCTGTAGAGCCTCAAAGTGGGTGCTTCGGGGTTCCACCGCTACATTACGTGGGGAGGACCGGTAAGGGGCCTGGGGTTCAAGTTTAAGGGTTTGGGGCGATTCTGGCAGACCCCATCGCGACTCTGGCTTTAGGCTCTAAAGCACGGTGCGCCTAAACCCTGCTGCTTTAGCTCAAGCCCAAGGGTGTGGGGTTGCGGGATGGACACCTGGTTCTGGATGGTTCTACTAGTACGAACAACTATTTTGGACTGGATGCATCTGGATGCAGATTCGGTCTGGTCTTTCTGAAGTCGGCAGAAGGCGTGGATGACATGGAGCCAGCCTTTCCTTCTGTTTGTTGGAAGGGCTTTAATCACGGACCAGGGTGCAGGGCCTGCGGATCGAGCTTGACTGCTATCCTCGTTCGAGATGTAGCATCGGATGCCAAAAGTGAATGCGAACTCCGAAATGTTCACCCAAATGTACCATCAAGCCAAATTCTCCGCAGGCTGCACCACCGATCGTCGACCTGAAGTTCTGGGCGGATGAATCCGAAAAAGAGCTCACAAGCAGTATTCTGTCAAATAAAAATAGTTACAAGCCCCGCGCCCAAACCTCTGAGCTAGCTTGCTTTGAACTTATACACGAGAATCCCAAGCGTAGGACGCATGGCCTTGCGCTTTTCACTTTAAACTTGTAGATAGTAAGATGCAGGATGCCACAATCCATTTTCATGCTTGTTGTGTTTGTTTTGCGTTCATTTTAGTTTGAGCTTGGACAGGTTTGTGCATCCAGTATTTTAGGAGTACTGTTTACAGTATCTTAGATTTGACTTGTATTCTTGAGTATTCATCAGATGACAGCCATACTGTAGTGGTAATATTCACCTGAGCCTTGGTTTATATATATATATATATATGTAGATCAGTGAGCCGCCCGCGGAGATCATCCTGACTGCATTATCATTACAGGGTGAACCAACGGCACCGCTAGTAGCAGCTAGTACAAGTCCTATTGCTACGGAGCACGGGAAGTGAATGCTACCACGAGGAGGGGCAAGTAGAAGCTGGTAGTGGTACTGTGGTAGAGCAGTGGTAGGAGAAGGGGAAGTGGTGGTGCTGGTAATAACAATGGGGAATGGTGGTGGCAATCCTACTGGTGGCGGTGGTTATTAAAACAAATTAAAATAAATTATAATATTGATAGAAAGAGGACCACTCTTTCGTAGAATTATGCGGATTTTGGATAGATGGATAAGGAATTTTTCTAGATACGAATTCTCGGGTTGAGATATATTATTTCGGGATACGATAATATTCGTCGAATTTAGGTAGTTTAATTTTGAATATTAGTGAATATAAGAAATTATTTTTTATATTATTATGCTGAATTTTAGATTAATTTTAGATTATTCTTCTCGATTTCGAATGTTGAAATAAAAATATTAAATAAAGATTAAAAATAAAAATCTTGAAAACTAATTTAATATTTACTACGATTTTAAAATAGGATAAAATATATTTTTATTTTTAGGAATTATTATTGAGATTTGAAATTCTAAATGAATTTTGGTATATATAATATTTATAAAATAGATTACTAAAAATTAATAATATGAAAATAAATATATAGAAATTTGATATAAATTTTTATTAATGGATCTGTTATTTGGAGGGAAAATAGATGGAAGGACGGTGATCTTTATTCTCTATTATCTATTAGTAGAGACTAGCAGAGCATGGAAGCGTGAGAAGAAGATATAGATCTCTCTGTAGAGGGAGGTATTTTCCACTAGAGCGGGATCGTATCTAAGAAATCGGAATTAGGGAAATGGCGAGATTAGGAGATTTCTACTCCCGGAGGGGTCACGCCCACCTTTCCGGATTCGGAAGGGCCCATGCAAAGCATTTTAGCATTTGAATTTATTTCAGTAGCGGGGGTCGTTGAGCCTGCACCATAACTGCGACCGTTCAATATCCAGAGCCAGGCACATATTACCAAAGAAACCAAGAAGAACTGGAATCTCAAACGCCCAATCGGTTTTTTTGAAAAAAATGATATCTGGGGCCGATCTTGTCAAATTGTGCGCCGGCAGGTGCGTCTAGCTTTGGGAGATTAAATATTTGTGCTCTGCTAAACGAAGCCAGAACACGCGGAGAGTTTTATAATTTCTTAGCTTCTGATTCGTACATTTGCGTTTTCTTTCCCACATAGATATCCCGCCCGGCGTTGTTGGCTGAAGCTGGGGCTGAAAGAATTGTGGCATATCCACAAGATACGCAAGGATGAGGGGGACCTATGCTTGCTTCAAATTCTGGCAGATGCTCGCGACCGATCCATTATTCAGCTCATCCTTTATTTATTAATATTATATAATATTTTGATATATACACAACGAGATCGATAGAAATTTTCATATAAGACCTCTCCTATATATATAAGTCCATCATAAAATAATTGAGATATTCTATTTGAAGGCATACTTGCTGGCTGCGTGTTCTCCATATCAAAGATCCGGAAGAACTTATTCTCCCTTGGGGCGAATGGACATTTTTATTGTGATTATTTAGAATAATATGATTACTATTCATAATAGCATTCATTTCCATTTTTTTGCATTATCCTTTTGTATCGTTTCCGGTCTAGTTTCCAATGGTTTCCTGGGGTTTCAATAGTAGCGTGCTGATGAGAGTCTGTCGGTCGTCGGACCGTCGTCCATCTAAAATCTGTCCTGTCCATGCATGTCTCATTCCCAAATAGAAAGGAATGCAAAGAAATATAATATAGTAAAGCAGCCATTTGCCACAGGCATACCTTTGACGAACTTATCGATCTAGATAATTATTATTTGAATATTAATATATAATTTTATTTTGAAACTATTAGATTTATTAATTTAAAATCATTATTTTTAAGAATTCAAAACTATTTATAAATAATGATTTTTAGAAAATTTTTCCTAATAAATATAGATATATTTTTTTCATAAGAAAAATATATATAAATTAAATATATCTGGTTTTTTATATATTAAAGATATATTTCTATTAATTCTTATTTTTTTTCTCTATCTCATACCTAATTAATAGAAATAAAAAGTATATTTTTTAATAGAATTCTTTTAATATAATATTTAATTTCTATTATTAAAATAATCTCAATTTTATATCTATGAATAATAAATATTTCTTAATAAAACTATAATAATCCTAAAAAAATAGTTCTCAAACGAATAATTTAATATCTTAATCTCCAAGTAAAGAAATATAATTATCTTAAATTATTTATATTTATAATCCCATGAGGAATTTTAATTTCTTATAATTGTATTCTAATATTTTTCTTTTTCAAAACTAGAATAAAATTAGAAATATTTTAGAAGATTCAAAATAATAGATTTAGAATAATAATTTATATAGAATTATATCTATATATCTAAATATTTTATATTTATGTCTTTCTTAAATCCTATTATTAAATCGACCTCCCTCATCCCATATTCCCGAAATTGACGCCCTCGTGCCGCCGCTCTCCACGACTTTCCCTAAATTCATACGCCCGCACCCGCCGCTCCTCAACATTTCGAATCCCCACAACATGCAAGCCTCCGCGACACTCCCTGCGACCTACTCTCGACACACATGCCCTCGCCCGCATCTTGCATTTCCATGATCGAATCTGTAGGTGTGCTGAATCATTCACCAAAGTGTTGAACATCAATGAATACCGATAATATCCAATGCTTTATCGAACGGCATAATGAAGTGAAGGCTAGAATACAGAGTAAGTTTAACCGAAAATATCGTGGTGCGACACACTGAATTTCCCGGGAATTCAGTGTTTCGTGGTTTCGTACCGGCAGCCGTCCTGCGCAAATCCGAAACCGGAAGAAGCACGCAGCGTCTTATAGAGTAAATAATAAAAAACAGGTTCTTCGGCATGATAAATCTAAGCTAATTCATCTAAAATCGTGCAATGGAAGATTTCTCTTTAGCCAGAATCGTAGCAAGCACGCAGAGTATAGATATTGGATTCAGCCAGAATAAAAATATGAATCAATGTCGATAAGCAGCGAATACTCAATCATTTTCTCCCGCCAACTGCGAAAGTTGGTAATTTCATGCTCCTCCTGCCTTCAAGATATTCCTGAAGGCTTGCAAGGGATGAATTCTCCCGGCTGCGTCCTCTTGGTTGCATGTGGGCGCGGTCGAGGTTCTCAAACATGTGGAAAAGCTGCAAGGAACAAGCATGGATCTGCGTTGCGTCGCGCGCTTATCCATCGTACTCGCCCTCCTCCTCATCAAACTCACCTGTGAGGTAAAGCAATGTCGACATCGGATTTGTTTAGTGGGCTCCTGCCAAATCTTGACCTGACCATGACGTTCCGAAGGACACAAAATGGTTTGTCCAGACCTTATGCTCCTTTCGAGAATAAGGGACCCTGAGTGTCAATTCTATCAGGCGAACCAAGAGCAGTGCCCTGTCTTTGGTCTGGAAGGATTCGCACACTTTCGGAAGCAGGACACCGGCCCGCCTTCCTCCTCAGCTGTGGCATCCTGCAAAGGGGCGAGCACGTTCAGCTTGAGAACTTGATCGTCGCACCAAGCATTATGAGAGCGAAACTGAATTATTGCAGTGGTTTTTCATACTTGACAATATCGTTTTCTATGTCACATGAGGAGCACACTATGGTGAAACCAGGAAGGCTTCGGTGCGAACCTGTTCAACCTAGCATGTGAGGGATGTCCCGGGTCGCAGCATGCGAGGGACGATGGTGCCTGGTACTGCTGGTACTCCGACACCAGGTCGTTCATGTTCGACTCTGCCTCGGTGAATTCCATCTCATCCATGCCTGCACAGGGCATCGCTGCTGCTGCGCCAATGCCAGAGAGCCCCTAGGCTTAAACCGTCGTCAGCCTAAGTTTGGAGAACCCTTCGAGTTTGGGCTAGGCTTCGCTCGGCAATACATTTGTCGGAAAAATAAACTCTCCGTGACTAAGGAGCTGGTGGCTAAGCAGCCCAGTCTATGTGCAGGCCTTGTCGGACGATGATGATGATGATGATGGAAATGAAACTATGGTGCTACTGATGATGGCGGAGATTGTGGCGATGCGAGGATTTAGAAGTCTGAAACTCGTGGTGACGATGAATACAAGAATGCTGCGGATGCTAGTGTACTTCTGATTGTGCTGCCGAAGGTCAGCGAAAGTGTCATACTACTGCCAATCCTTTATCAACGTTGCCAGTCGACTTACGTGGTTCTGCTTGGTATGACCGATAACGACTCCGACTTCCATCCTTTGCATTTGCTATGAGGCTCCTGCCCTCAGACCCGCCTTCACCCGTGTACCAGTGAAGGAAGGCTTTGCGGCGGAACATCGCAGTGAAGTACTCTGCCACCCTCAGACGTCTGGTGATTCAGGAATCTGAGCTCCAGCTTTGAGGTCGGTTCAACAGGTCTGGAAGCAGACGGTCTCATGACGCCTTAGAACTTGAACATGGGGTTCGAGTATCTACGTTGCGCACTGCGCGTTCCCAGCCCACCTACCCCCTCCTACGGCCGGAATGGCCCCCTCAACGGCCTCCCGACAGCCAAACCCTCCAACCCTAAGCCCCTGAATCACCATCCGCATTGGCCAGCCCAGCAAGCAGCAGAACCACGAACCCTCGCCAAACGGAAGGCCCAGTTCTGAGTAAGCAACTGCCGACCTACCTACAATGCTGTGAACCCCCTCTAGTGCGGGCTCCATTGAACCAGGGCACCTCTTGAACATCTCCTGGATGGCCGTCGAGTTGCCGGCGAAGGCGACCGCCATCTTAAGACCTGCAAGCAGACGCAAGACAGATGTCGTGAAATCCTGCGTGATTTAACTCAGAACTTGTCCGATCTATCCCAGTATCACGGCCTTGGCACTATCACCATCACGAGCACCGCAGCACCCGTCATCCAAGGCAGTCTTGGTTTGGATTCTTGAAGTGCAAACATTTGTGACTCCGCGCTTGTAGAACAGATGCAGCTAGCAGCTATTATATGGATGCCTAGTGCTCAACGCTCCGTTACTCCAAGAGCCCGGTCCTAGCTGCCCTAGCTGCACAGCGCGGCCTTTCGGTGGGATATCGCAGACAGACGCCTTGATGTTGTTTGGGATCCACTCCTTGGCATTGCTGTTCTGACAGTGGACCATCACAACACTCCTCTTGCGTGATTTGGCTGTCCACAGGTAGTTTAAACGGGTTCAAACTGAAGATTTCATGAGCTAACTTGATATCGTGTTAGCGTCAGTTGGCGACTGCTGTGTATTAAGATCGCCCATTTGTCAATGTCTCTCGGGACCGTTGAGCAACAATGGATCCATCTGTCCAATTGGCGATACGTATGACACGACAAAACCAGGACGACGACCACCAGCACCACCAGCACCACCAGCACCAACGCCGCCACCACAACAACAACAACAACAACAGCAACGGCTACTGCTACTACTACTACTACTACTACTACGACTACTAGCACCACCACCACCACCACCACCACCACCACCACCACCACCACCACCACCACTGCGACGACAAGGACTCGCGACCACCACGGCTACACCCACCACTTCTGCCGCACGACTGCAATGCTGCTGTGCGTGTTCTATTGCAGCTGCTGCTAATAATGCCTTTATTGCAATCTGTCCACCCCTAGCAAGACCACCGTTGATCTGACTATCGACGTTGTACTTTTGTCCTTTCGGCAATTACTCTGACTGCGACGATGCACAGATTGCTTCCTCAAGGTACTAGGACCATGGGGTACTTATGTGATAGTAATGCAAGCACTGCTACTCAGACTCTTATCTTGTTAGCAACTCTGAAACCAAAGTCCAAGACTCCACGAAGTAGGAGGAGTTCTTGTTCTGCACATTCAACATCTGTTCGTCCACCTGAAGGTATGTTTGCGGGGCAAGATGACGCTTTCTTCACCCCATCAGAACATCAAGATCACGCACGCAAAATCTGTTCGTTGACCTATAGGCGTGAAGTGGGGCAAGATGACAAGGCTCCTGCACTGAACACTACAGGCCCTAGCCATTCCTTTCGACGACCTCTGCCTTTATGCACAGTACACAGAGTCGTGGAGTAGTCGATGGCAGCGAGATTGAGGCTTGGGGATTGATTGGGTAGGGGCAGGGAGAATTCGCTTGGAGCAGTTTTGCAGTCTGAACTTCTCGAAGAAGCTACAAATAGAAGAAATATCAGAAAGTGCAAGAGAGCTTCCTTCGGCAGCCTACTACCCACGGAATACGTCCCCGAAGAGTGCTCAAAACGACCTCTGAAGCGTCAAGATCCCCCGCTCTAAACTGGATGAAGAGCTTCCGATCTCTTTGTTGTTGCAGGATGCCCAGATTGTGTGTAAGATTGAATGGGGTACGAACCGCCCGGATTGAATCCTGAAACCTCCAAGCCTGACCTCCAAGCCTGATGGTCGATGCCTCCTTCGTGGACATACGACCGCGGAAGAGTGCTGCGGCAGTGAGGTATCGCCCGTGGCGGGGGTCGGCAGCACACATCCTGGGATGGGGAGCCGCAATCACAACAGTTGCATCTACCGCCAGCCATCGTCCTCGCCATGGTACATGGAATCGCAACGATGCAGAAACAGTAAACACGCATGCGTCGGCACAGGGGATGCACAAGTTCTCCTACCTTAGGATGATCCACACCAGATCCAATCGGCTAGGTCCTAAACCTTACAGTCTTGCTCGTCAGGGGGCATGTTCTTGGCGTCGAACATCTGCTGGGTCAACTCAGGGACCTGGCTTCTCGGGCGAAGATTTTGTTGCTGCAGCCACGTTGTCGGAGACAGCAAAGTAAGTCTAAGCTTTGATCCAGGGACGGTCAGGGCCCGGTACTGCTGCGACCCACGGGAGGTCAAAGGCGCGAAGCCAGTCATGAAGAAGTGCAAGCCTCGCCGAGCTCTGCGGATCGATTCAATCGAAGGCTCGCGAAGGCTTTCAACACGCAGTGAGGATGCTTCACTGTAGGGTGTGGGCTTGGATGTCTCAGGAGAACCGCCGCTGCAACAAGAGTACTCACTTGCACGCTTGAAGGCTCCACAAAAGGTGGTCTGCAGTCCATGCCACGCGGGAAGGGTACCAGGTTCACAGCGATCTTGCGCAGGTCGCAGTTCAGCCTCGAAATCCCCGGAAAGCCAAAAATCCAACGCGACGTTCTAGGTTCACTACAGGTAGGCATCTCATCTGACAAACAACCAAAAACCTTCGGAAGGATACCTATTACCATCTAGAGACTGTCCCGGGAAGCGCAGGCAGCATGTGACGCCGCTCATGGCCGCCGAGACCAGATGGTTCAAGTCGCCGTACGTTGGCGTCGTCAGCTTCCTCAGCAGAACGAGCTTTGTATGGAGTCCGTCCCACCGTTTGCTCTACAAGTGCCATCGCATGCAGGGCTGCACGGCGAGGAGAGCAAGGAAGACTACATAAAAGGAAGGCCGTGACCCGCATTTCCCAGTCTCATCGTCTCGCGACATCGTAGTAGGCAGCTACAGTTAGGTCCGGGGTGCAGCGTCCGGAAGCAGATGTCGTAGAGCGCTTCGTTGTCCTCACATGCTGACGTGCTTGAGAGCTTACAGGTTTCAAGAATCAGCAGCTTTTAACGCCATGAACCGTCTTAGCCGGCAGGTGGCCAGCAGGAAGGACTCGTCGGAGTTCTCCACGAGCTGGTGAAAGCTCAGGACGGCATTGTACGGCTCCACCACCGTGTCGGAGACCTTGGGCGACGGGATCACCGAGAAGGTCTCCATGATGCGGTCCGGGTACCTTGGGAGAGACGTCTTTTGATCGGGGCGTGCTTCATAGGCTCAGGACACTTTCAACCTAGGTTCTTACAACTGCAGTCATTTCAGTGACGATTCTGCTGAGGCACGACTGGATCCCGAAGTGAAGTAACACTGAATGAGTATCCCCATGAGGTGGAGTGTTACCTCAAACCCTCAAACTTGCAGAAAAAGAGATCGTTCTGACGGGCCCTGTTTGAAAGCTGGTGTCCGAGGCCCGCAGAGAAAGGAGGAGAGCTGCCTTCTGAGCGCTTTGGTGGCCCTGTGTCGTCTGCATTCGAAATGCAGCTCAGCTGCTCCTCACGCACCTCCAGGGTGTGATGTGCACGAGGTGTGCGTGTGCGTGTGCGTGTGCGTGTGCGTGTGCGTGTGCGTGTGCGTGTGCGTGTGCGTGTGCGTGTGCGCGCGTGCGTGTGTGGCTTGGTGGCTGTTTCCTACGACTTTTGAGCTTGAAGGGTCGGGATATCCCAGGGAATAACTTGCCCAGAAAGGACCACAAACTCGAAAATGCGACTGGCAATTTACGGCTTGAGGCTTGAGGATGCGTGCTACGGATTCGATTAAACTCAAGTTGAGATGTGTGAAGCTCCCACCTTGGAAATGAGCAGAGTGCCCATGCCAGCGCCGGTGCCTCCACCGAGCGAGTGGCAGAGCTGAAAGCCCTGGAGGCAGTCGCAGCCTGCATGAAAGCGCTTAGCAAAAGCACGCATCAGTATGGCAGGTAGGTTCTAGCATTGAGAATACCGTGAGGGGTATGGCTTGGAGGTCATGTCAACGCAATGTAGATTCGTCTTCCCGGTTTCTGTACCCAGAATGGACGAACTAGCAACGGCTCCGGTATCCCAGAACTTCTATCGCGGTGTCATCCACGAAGGTTCGAGGCGGCCAAACTCAAAGGCCCCAAGCCTCATTCCGACCCAGGCCAATGTAGGATGGCGTGCAGGTGATTGAGGTTCGGTTCAATTGCCGATAACAGACATAGCTCAACTGCGGACTGTTGAGAGATGAACGAACTATAACGATCTCAACGCGCAGAGTCTTGACAAGAACCACCGTGGGTCGCACCTACCTTGCTGCGTAGGCCGGCGTTAAACTGCATTTGACGGATATGCCTTTGAAGCCCAAGATCCGTCGCCTTCGGCCTCCTTGCGCACAACATCGAGCACCGAGTCAATGAGTTCTGCACCCTCAGCTTCACTTCGCAGGGTTGACAAGGACGAGGACTTCTTTTGAACTTTGCGCCTTCCACTTCGAGAGTCCGCACGATAAGAAACAATAGGCAACAGCACATGCCAAAGAAAGTGCAAGCCAAGCTGAGCTTGGGGCTTCGGTGTAGTGACCTTTGTCCGGAAAGCGCACATGCACAGTGTTGAAAGAAACATGAATACCTGGGCACACTTTTGCTCCACTGTGTGAGGCAAGCGCTGTGTGTAAAGATGTGGACACACATACACACACACACACACACACGCGCGCACAACGTCTTAATAGCAAAGTCTCATTGCCACTCATGCGATATAAGACAAAATATTAAGATTAATATGCGATACATAGATCCTGCAATCGAGTGCCAGGCCCTTGGCCCAGTTGTTGCCAGCTCCTGGCAATGCAAGTTTCATTACAGAATGGTATTTATTTACATCATGAAAAACGGCTGTTCCTCAAGTCGATATCCTACAGAAACCTGCTTTGAAACTATAGATAACCAGAGAGCATAATCTTCATGGCGACGTTGTCAAGCCGACCCAGTCCTGTCTGCCCGAAGACGAAGTTGTCAGGACGGAAGAGCTGACCAAAAGGCCCGGCTCGGACGGAGTCCATGGTTCCTCGCGATGCTCACGGACCATCGAAAATCAATTTCCAAAAGGAGACTGCCAGACTTGCAAAGGCACTGCAGCACTAAAACTCCTACGATCTGCTACCACCCCGAGATGCTGGATCTTCATTCGGCATTTAAGAGCTCCCGTCAAATCCTAGGAATCAGCTGTAGGTAGCATTGCTGTTTCTACTGCAATACATTCAGTGTTGTTAACTTGTAACTGTTGTATCCTTCACTTTTGAATTCTTCCCGAAACGGTGCCTGATTCTTACAGTAGAATGCCTGTAAAAATCATGTCAGAAGGATGTGTACCACTTCCCACCGCCTGGCTCAAGGTCCATCAGGACCGCGCGGGGAACGTAGCGTCCGCCAGTAGCCTCGTTGAAGTAGACCTGTGTGTGAGTGAACTGCACGCAACCTAGCTCCGTAGAGGGTTAGCGGCAGGAGCGGCTGGAGCAAAAGCTCGGGCACAGGAAAGCGGGTTAGTGTGCACTAACCTAGACGTCTTCGGCAACAAGCCGGCCAAGCTTGGCCACTGCGATCCCAAGCGTACAGGCGGCTATTTGCCGCTGCACGCGCATGTCATGAGAGTCGCCGGCGTCAGACGTGACCCACCCGGAGTTAATAAGTTGAAGTAGACCTTCCCCAGTGTTGCGGGGTGTTCAGAGCTTCGGAAATGCTTGGGAAACCCATGTCCTCCACTACCCTCTTCAGGTTTTTAGCTAAAATTGTGGGGATCTTTGAGCCCTAAAGCATCCCAAACCGAAGCTCTGCAAAGGTGCGTTGATGCGCTCGAGCTGGAGGTCGGAGTCTCCATGGTAGGTGCCTTCAGCTCTTGGGCGGGTGCCGGGTGCAGGCAGGCCCTGGGTCGGAAGGCTTCTGGGCAGTTTTCTGGCATAGCAACAATGTCGGACGAATAACATCGAACGGCCATGTAGTAGCAAGATGACAGGAACATATTCGCACTGCTTCATTGTGAAAGCGCCTGCATAGAAGATTGCCGGAGATACTTCTTGCAAGGGCGTGCTTCGAAGCCTGTAAGGAACCAGCAAAAATTCCTGATACCAGGTGGGTCGAGACTAGACTGGGCTCATACTGCTTCAACTGTCTGTTTCAGGGCAAGCGAGTGCTTTGCCGCTTCCTGCTTCTGGCCCTACGCAGTACACTCACTGCGCCCGAACTCGAAATCCTGATCCCATCAACCTGGAAACCATGGCTTCTCTTTGGGGCACCTGTGGGGTCAATGCCGTGCTCGTCGGCAATTACCTGCCCAGTTTTCGGACGAAAGGCTTCGCTTCATATCGACGAACCATGTTGCTGTTCCTACAGCAAAACACGTCTGTACACATCTCCTATGCCACACCTCAAGACCTTCAAGCTGGTTGTGCCGACATGTCTTCTCGCGGTCGCGAGAAGGTGTCTGGGGCAGATATCAGAATTCGCAGATCACCCTGCTGTAAATCTTTGTGCGTGTGTGCGTGTGCGTGTTGAGCTGCAGAACCCTAAACTGAACCCCATTGGCACGAAAGGAATGTCCAGAGCAGGTCTCGAATCTTACGGGGCTTCTTATTCTGTTCTCCTGGCTTTCCTTCGCGACTCTGAGGATTCTTAGGCTACAGGCGAACAAAGCGATTGAAGCCGAGGCCTCCCAGAACTTGGCACCGATCTGGTTGCCGCCTCCAGCTTTCAGGGCCATCGGACTGCTGTTGGGGGCTCAGGCTTTATTACATAATTATATAATTAAATAATAGTATGTATATATATATATATATGAATACCTTAGGGTGTGGGTTTCAGTGATCCGGGGCCTAGGCTCGAGTGCCACAACCGCAACATGCGACTTCCACGTTGATCCGTGCCGAGGTGCACTGGCCACCCTGGACGTGGACGAGCTCGCGCATGGCTACGAGAAACGCAAGGCGGTGGAAGGCGCGAAGGCTTGAGACTTTGCGGAGGCGCTGCGGTCGTAATGAAGTCGGCTCCTTTCCTCCATATCTGAGTTGCCTTTGCTACATGCTGAGCACAACGCTAGCCTCCCGCTGAGATACCTCAGGTAACCCAACCATGCCTAAAAACTTCAAGATTCCAGAGACGTCGCAACGGAGACGAGGTACAGCATCCCCTGGAACACGCTTCAACACGTGCTGTCTGTCAAACTCAACATGCCTGCCGATCCTTTTTACTCGCGCATGCCGCCAACTGCGAAAGTTGGTACGAGTTCAAGCACGAGCTGCCCTCAAGATTTTCTTGAAAGCTTGCAAGGGATGAATTCCCCCGACTGCGTCCCCGTCTAGTATGCGGGCGCGGTCAAGGTCATCACAGGTCTGAACAGGTTTGTGAACGAGCATGGGGTCTGCAACACTTCGGAATCGCAGTTATCCGTCGTACTCGCCTTCCTCCTCATCAAACTCACCTTCCGGCTGTGGCGTCTCCAATCCAAACGCTGCAAAATACAAGGACCCCAATGAAGCCCTTGCTTTTCCACTTTACGACCGGTGAACTGGTCCGTGTTCCAATGTAACTTCCAGAGTTTTCCCCTGTCACAAAAAATCCCCACAGCACCAGAGGAAAGTACCGGCTTAATGCTGGATCCCTTGTCCCGCGGTGTCGGACACAAATATCTTGACTCACTTTGCGAGAACCTCCTACCTTGTCAACATGCAGATAGCCTGAGCAAAAGCAAGCCTGAGATCATCCTCATCCGCAAACCATGCGGAGACCACAGAACCGGAGCTTCAAACTCCCTAAGCCCTGTTGTCAAACTTCCGAAGTGCTAATCGGACAGCAGCTAGGATCACCAATGCATACCATCCTCCTGACAATCTGCGCACCTTCTCCCTACCCGAAACCTTAAACCCTGAACCCTGATCCGAAATCCAAACTCCCGACCCCCACTGGTAGGCCATGCCTTCCTCCTCGGCCGTGGCATCCTAGCGCAATCACCACGGTCTATGCGTTTCGACAATGAGGATTTCGGCCACCGAGAAAGCTACATATGTACACATATAGGAGGTCGCATGTACCAAGAAATAACTTTAAGAGCTACGTATGTAACATGGCACTGCATAAATACTCAATAGTATTCAGAAACTGATCTGCTTCCTTTTTTCTCGACGAGCGCCTGTGGGCTCCGGCTCAGTGGGGTTTTTCGAACGTCGCGAGCAGTAAAACTGCGAAGCTAAGCGTCTTGGGCTTAAGCTGTAGGGCTTGCTCGTCAAGGTTTGGCAACATAAGAGATATTTTGTGCTGCCACTGTTTATCCAACGAGTCTCATCATCATGATCATCCGGTGATGATGATGACGACGATACTTCTGCATTCTGTGGGGAGCGCAGTTTCTGTGACACGCCTGGTACTGCTGGTACTCCGACACCAGGTCATTCATGTTCGATTCCGCTTCGGTGAACTCCATCTCATCCATGCCTGGCTGCTAGGTTGAGCAGGGTGGCATGCAGGACAAGCTTCTGAATCATGCAGGCTGCACAAAGTCTGGGAGCCTTAAGGGTTGTGCTTCAGAGGAAGGGCCCATCTTTCTGAACAGTCGGCAGGGACTGAACTGATTTTCATGCAGGCTGAAGTTGTTACTACGACGACTACTGCTACTACTACCATCACCACCTCTAACACTACTGCTACTACCGGCACCAACAGCAGCACACCAGACCAGCGCCAGCACCGGCACCGGCCCCGGCGCCAGCACCCCTCCTACCCTCACTCTCACTACCACTACACCTACCGCCACTACTACGACTACCACTGCCACTGCCACTGCCACTGCCACTGCCACTGCCACTGCCACTGCCACTGCCACTGCCACTGCCACTGCCACTGCCACTGCCACTGCCACTGCCACTGCCACTGCCACTGCCACTGCCGCCACCAC